AATGTATGGGAATAAATTGTGAGAATGCTTATACGCCTGATTTTTCTGAAGAGGACATTGATGAAAATGATGACGACGAAATTGATATTAATATTGAAAATATACTAAATGAATCTGAAAATTTATAAGATATATATGATTAACTGTTGTTTAAATAAATAAATAATAATATCCAATCACCTAGAAACTTATTTTAACTTTCACATTCACAAAAATAAATTTATTAGACTAAATAATACCGAAAGTAATAAAAAATTTATAAAAATAAGAAAAAGTATCGTTGGTTAAATTGGCATATCTCGGTTGATTTTAATTGTATAAACTTGTACCATTTTAAAGGTCTTGAAACCAGCTTTCATTTGAATATGGCATTACATATACCTAAATTAACTCAGAAAAAAGTTATAAGACGAAAATCGTCAAAAAGGGCAAAAATTGGCCAAAAATCCAAAAAGTAGCCAAGTTTGATCCAATGTATCTCGGTTTCTATTAGTCGTAGGTACTTCTATAAAAGCTTATTTTAAAGGAAAAAACATTAACTTTTTTTCTGTGAAGCAATGCCTACACCCAACTCCTCAGAATAAAGTTGTGGGGCAAAAACCAAAAAGAAAAAAAAACGCATTTTTTGGGCATATTTTTGTTAAAAATATTTTTTTTGACTTCAAAAGGTCTCATTTCGATTGGAAATTCGATTTGCTACAACTTTTCTGTTGACAACTATATAGAAAAAATTCATAGTTTTCGAGTAAAACTCAAAAAAACTGAAAATACCACCTTTTTACTTCATTCTCAAAAACGCACCCCTTTAAAAGGTAGCACTCCGCGGTTTTATCATTTTTTAGGGTCAATTGAACATATCAAACAATAAAATTTCTGTTACGTTGTAGTTCCTATCTAAAGTACATATGTAGGTAGTCAATAGCCTACTACCCACGCTGCTATTTATCATTTTCTATTGATTGCTAAATGTGTAACAATAAATTCAATTCTTAATATTTTTGAGAGATTGGTTTATTTTAATAAAAGCTAATGATGCTGATTATCGCTGCTCTAGTTCCCAGTTGTAGTTCTCCATATTGTTCTTCACCTCATCAAACGCTGTATGAATGTTCTCAATGAGTTGGTCCTTGCAATTACGCTTTCTCATTGAATAGGCGTCTTCAAATGTCCCCACATGAAAAAGTCCAACGGATTGAGATCCGGAGATCGCGGTGGCCAAGCAATAAGACCACCACGACCTATCCGTCGAGTTGGATACTTTTCGTTGAGGAAATTAGTGACACCTCTTCTATAATGGGACTGATCACCATTATGTAAAAAGAACATCGTCCTTCTGATTTGAAGAGGAATGTCCTGAAGTAGTGGAGGTAGATCGTTCTCCGAAAAAGTCCGGTACATCTCGCTGTCCAAATTTCCGTCGAATAAATGTGGTCCCAGATCAAACGTTGCCACCCTGTATGTCCATTTTTATTATAATTTGCTTACCATTACTAAACGCATTCTTCACACCCGAGCAATAATAGTAATATGCGACTGCCGACGACCTCTATTCGCCCTCAACTCAAATAAGAAATACTCAAGTTCTACCCATCAATACAAATTGTAAAACCTTAACGATCGAACGTCGGCTTTGAGCTGCAGACAAAGATAATGCATATAAATAAGCAATAAACGAACAGCGCCGCGGTATAATGTTAACGTGTGGGCTCCGAGAGGTTCGGAATGAATACCCACCGACCACACGTCTGTTTAAGGACCGAGAGGAGTCCTAACGGTACCTGCAATTTACGGCACTTCCTGTAATACGATATATCATATTTATTTTCTCCGACATATGCTCGAACAACGTCGTCGAGCCAGGTTATCTCTCCTCATTATTTCGGATCTTTTACGGTGCTGTTGAGATTTCCTTTACGACTTTTACAACAATGGACGGTACCCAGTAATTTATCAGAATGTAACCAAAAGGACCCGTACAAGAACGAGAGAAATTCGTGATGCTTTAAAGACAGTGATCCTGTATGTTATGAATTTTTTATGGTAATTTAATGTGTTTGAGAAAAAAAATACAATGCTAACGCTGAACTTGTAAAAAACAATTAGTTCTGCTTTGCAATTTATTTAACAACATAATCATTATTATTATCGCATTACACGCATCTAATTCCTTTATGTAAGTCGTTAGATGGTCGTCTACATTATCATTTTTCAATTTGCAACAGCAACGTTTAAAACCTATTGTGTTTGCAAACTTGAAAAGTATTAATGATAAGAAGAGTGTCTTAATAAGCTTTTCCAATAATGAAAACCGTTGAAATTGCGAAACCATGTTTAAAATTAATGATAATCAAAATTATTAAACCTATTGAGAACCCCTGGAATAGTTGTGGTCATAGATAGCACGCCGTTCGCATTTTTGTCCAGTTTTTTGTAGTAAACAGAGAAATTGCGACAAATTTTAGGATATCATTAATTCTACTTCAGCTTAGGCATTGTTTCAAGCAAAATTATTAGTAAAGAAAGAAATGTGTAAGTTGAGTCTATTTTAGCGGATTTTTAACTACATTTTCTTTTCGTGAAAAGATGGTCTGTCTGTCTGGAGTTTATTTTAATAAATACGAATAAACATACATGGAGTCGTTCGTGCAAAATGTGAATTAATTGCACATTTTACACAGCGGTTCCAAAAATGTTTCTCACTATCATTGTGGTAAGTCAGTGGATATTAAAAAAATATTGTATTTGCAAGAAATATTTATGTGCGTTTTCGTATGACTATTTATAACTTCTTTTAAAAACGTATTTTGTTTTGATAATTAAATGTCTTTTCGTTAGCGTCGTGTTCCTCAATTCATTCGAATAACTTGAAAACAAAAAAAGGTATCGAACTATTTTTGGCGCCAAAATGTAGCTATTTTTATGCTCTTCAAACTAACCTATAAAAAGTTTTATCCTGCTATTTCACTTTTTTAAGAAAATTTGAAAAAACCTAAACTTGGATAAATAGCGCCAATAAATAAACAACATTTTCGTTAGAACTTTCAAACTTATACTATATTCATCAATTTTTTTATGCTGAATTCATTTATGTAAAGAAAACTATAGTATTGCATTTAAAATTTTTGAGAAAAATCCATAAAACGGCATTCTTTTGAAATAACGCCATCTATAGGTTTCCATGTTGAGGTAAATGACATTACGCATTTACCACGAGATAAGGCATGAAAAGACCTTTCCAACGAGGTATAACACTATGGGCTTTTGATCAGCTAATCCTTAAAAAAATGCATTTTTCTGATCAGACATTAGGGGCTTCCCCCACCCTTTCTGTCGAGAGATAGAACAAAATGTCAATAACAAAAGTTATACACAATGAATCTGGCTATCCATATTTGTACTATTTAATATACCTGAATAGGAAACATTTCTGAGAAAAATTCAACTCTATGTCTTGGTATGTAGATTACGCCCCCTACTGGTCAAGCTACGAACTTGAAAACTATTTCCAGCGATTTCTCTTGGTCGATTTATTGGATAACCATTTTTTTTCTAGATTGTAATTTTATTACACAGGTTCTTTTAAAAAAATGTAAACAAAAACTTATTTGAAATTAAAAACCTACGCTTATTCGAGACCAAGACATCAAGTAACGTTCATTTTGAACTTTACCACCGTGTAAATCTGTGGGAGTGTATTTAATTTAATAATAACCTATTTTCGTACACATAAATATTTTAACATCAAGGACAACTGGTCTATTATGGCCGAAGGTATGTCCACCAGTTTTAACATAAAAATGTGACATCCCTCATCAATTTTCGTATTTTAATTTATGGTTCACGAAACGACCGCGGTTTTTTTAAACCCGTCTGTAAACTAGTTTCGCCGAGAAACGTAAATAAAAAATTTAACCAAGGTTAACCACAAAAATAGGTACAGGCTTGGGCAATCAGTCCGTAAAAGGCAGTGAAACGTATTTTGCTCTAATTTCTATACGATTAGTTCGCTAAATAAATACAAAACGTTTATTTGATAAAAAAATATATTGACAAATAATTTCCAACATTAATTTATTAGGAAAAGTTTTGAATTTAGGCGAACTAACTTTGTATACTCGTAACATTGTGTTAAAACATGAAATATACACCTTTTGCTAAAATTTAGCACCTAATTTAACCGACAAAAGTACTTTAACCCAAGCCTAAAATTACAGCGTCTGCCAAAGGCGACCGAATACCGGCAAAAAGTTAAAACGAACCAATTTCGAAGCACCGAGGCCTAACTCTGTGGTTTCAGGCCTGTAATTTTTCTCGGAATACCCATAATTTACCCACACAACTATGCGGTAACTTGGTGTTTACCTTTTTTTAAGGTTTGTTCGGCTTACTCGAGATCGGTATCTCAACGCGAAGCAGCCTTGACTGGGCAATGTAATGGCTAGGAGTAATGGTACAATCGTGATGCTGGCACTTGTAAAAAAAAAGGTGATTGTGTGAGACCCGATGAAAATACGCCGACGTACTGATGGCCGCTGAAGGATAAGGTCGTCTGCCAGCGATTATTTTTATATCGGGTGGTTGAAAAACTTGAAATTTTTATTTGTTGTGACATTTTTCGATTCGCTTTTCAAAAACGTTCAATTTATCGCATTTTGGAAGAATATTTGGGCGTGTGGGCACGATTTGTTCCACACAAGTTGGCTGACGACCAAAAATTGCTCGAAATTCAACATTCGAAGGACATCAAGGAGGCCAAAAAGGACAAAAACGTCCTTTACAACATTGCGACTGGTGTTTTCAATATGATTCAGAAACCAACTGTCAAAGTGTCGAGTTTAATTAATTTACTGTGTTAATCTGGACATTATAAATTATTTGCATGCCAACGCACGTTTCGCCAGTCAAGGGAACATCTTCAGTGGACTTCTCATTCCTTTTACGTGATATATTTACCTACTTCACTTATTTCTTTTTTTCGAACAAAACGTGGGCAAACTGACCTTTATCTGGTGGCTCTGGCGAGTTGCCTGCGTCGCTGATGCCCGATCTGGCCGACCTCGGCTTCCTGGGATTTACACTGCAGGTAGTAACACTCGATAATCCTCGTATGACGCGATTCTGAAACAGAAAAAAAAAGACGGTCAGTGCCGATGATTTAACTCAATTAGTCGAGAGATTCTGCGCTCCTTTAGTACCTGGAAGCGTTCGTTGCGTGCCGCAACTGTTATTACTCGCGATCGTTAAGGATAATGTGGGGCAGCAGCGGTAATTATGAAGCCGTGGCACACTGAGATGGTTATCCGTCCGGTAGCGGTGTATAGTCTGATGAGCTTGTTTTTTTTTATTGTCACGGATAGTGTGAGAAGCTGCCGGTTTATGTTTCAATTCAATTGAGATAAGTAGGTGCAAGGATATTTTATTGTTTTATCCACAATCACCGAATAATCGGACTTTTATCCACACTTATGAACCGTCTAAAGTCAATCCACTATAGGCCAGGAAGATAAAATGGGAAATGGCCATTTCGCGACTTTTTGTTTCGGCAAGCTGAGTTTACCACTATAGATGCTAAATAACGAGCGTTCAAATAAAAACGTGGTCAAGTTGGTTCTGAAAATTTGGACGTAGGGCGTAGCGTACAGCAAATGAACTTAAACGTCATCTGTCAAAGCGCTATATCGACGTTATCAATTTGAATATTTTCGTTTTAAAAAGCGTTTAAAATGATGTTTTCTCAAGAACAAAAAGTGTTTATCATAGAGTCCTACTTTAGAAATGGACGCAAGATTGATGGAATATGGAAGTATTCTATTGAGGAATGTTTCATAGAATTTCAAAATCAATTTCCCGGCGTTGTTGAGTACAAAATTTTTCAAAGTGCAGTTCAGCGTTGTGTTAATGTTTTTCGTGAAACGGGCAGTGTAACAAGAAAAGAAGGAAGCGGCCGACCTAAAAAGCGGACTGAAGAATTAAAAGAAAATGTCCAACAAATAATGGAAAATGCGCCAAGAACTTCTGTACGTGTTTTATCACAAATGGTGGGAGTATCAGTCGGTACCTGCCACACAGTGTTAAAAAAAGATTTGCGTTTGTTCTCCTATCGTTTAACTTGTCAGCAAGAACTTCATGAAGTTGATTTTCCGCGACGGGCTGTATTTTGTGAATGGTTTTTAAACAACTACGGTGAACTTCATAATATCACCTTTTTTCTGATGAAGCCTGGTTTCATTTAAATGGTTACGTAAACTCACAGAATATGAGAATGTGGTCTTCTGAAAAACCAGATAACTTTTTTGTCGAGGGCCCTCTACACGCTCAAAAAATTGGAGTTTGGTGTGCTCTCAATCGAAGGAAGATTTATGGACCTATTTTTTTTAATGGTACTCTTACTGCGCAAAGGTATAGAGAAGAAATTATCGCTCCTTTTGTTAACCAGCTGGAAGAAAACGAAATTACAAACTTTTACTTTCAACAAGATGGCGCAAGGGCACATACGGCAGGCGAGACGATGAATATGTTGAGGGAAGTTTTCCAAAATCGACTAATAAGTCTCAATGCTGAACATGAATTTCCACCGAGGTCATGTGATATTACGCCGTGTGATTTCTTTTTGTGGCCTTACCTTAAAAACACTATTTTTGAACTGCCTATTCCTGATTTAAACCATCTGCAGGCTCGACTTATAGACTAGATTCGTGAAATTAACAATACCCCGAGCATCTTAGAAAATGTCTTTAATTCTTTGAGGAACAGGTGTGAAAAGTGCTTGGAACAAGGAGGGGGACACTTTCAGCAGCTCCTTTAATTGTTTGTTATTGTTATCACGATTATTCTTTAAAATAAAGTTATATAGTCATTAACGTTATTGAAACTGACAGCTGCTATGCAGCTCGTTGAGAAATGAGGTTAAGTTGGTCGCTATAAGCTACTCCCTACGTCCAATGTGTCAGAGCCAACTTCGACCACGTTTTTATTTGAACACTCGTTATTATGTACAATAACATATTAGTTTCCATAGTTATAAAAATGGGGGAAGATTGTTTACAGGGTGGTTAATTGTATAATTTTTACGTAAATTCACGTTTTTCGCTTATAACTTTTCTCCGTTCATTTCCACGAGAAAACAGTAAGGTACTTTTTTTTCGTCTTCAAAAGACCTACAAAACTAGCCCTTGAGCGTCAAAAAATATTGATTAGATCAAAAGTTATAAACTGAAGAAGTTTATTTATGACATTTGAATTAAACATTTATAAACTACGTTATTATTACCAGAACGTTTTGGCATCGCATCCTCTCATTCCTTATCACTGTCTAATAACTCACACCAAATCTGGAATCGGTAAGTTAAATAGTTTAAAAGTTATGGCCTTATAAACAAATTAACCAATTATTAGTCTGTACGATCCCGAGGATCTTCCACAATCGCACTGATTTTTTTCATGGTCGATTTCATAATAATACATTGAAATCTATATTTTTTTTTAAATTTCAAATTTGCAACCTGGATTTTTCTTTTATTTTTTATACGTCCTATTAAAAAATATCACCGTTTTTTTGACATTAACATTCTCAAATTGTGCATTAAAAAACCGTGCGTTTTTCGCTTATAAACAATTTGAATAACATTGTTGCTATTTACGCTAACTCACCGAAAATAGATGCAATGGATAGCTGGCAAAAGAATACAGTTTTAAAAGAAAAAAAGTACCCTCTACGACCAATCGTAGAGCAATTGTTTATAAATATTAAGATTTGAATTTTTCGCAAAATAAAGTTTACGACGTAATTTACGGTTTCCCGTGCATTGCATTGAAAAATGTGGAAAATTAACGACTCACGAGCCCTTTAAAGAGAAGGTACTCGCTAAGTAAACTGTCCGGCGGCCGGCGACGTGATGGTGGGGGAAGCTTGTCCAAGCGAGTCGCTTGCGCGAGAAAAGTTCATTCCAAAGTTCAAATTAATGCGCCCTGTAAATTTTGCAATATCTCGGCTTCTATTCATCGTAGAAACTTATTTTTTTTATATACTGGGGTAGCTCGACGAAAAAATAACAATGGGCATATTTACGAATTCGTAGAATAGCCCTGAACCCCAGAAAAAATGCATCTTTTATACTTTATTTCTTTTAATTTATGTCACAAAATTATTGTTAACCGAAATATTAATTAAAATTTCAATTTCGGAATTATTTTACTATTATCAAATAAATAAATGAAGCTATCGTTCATTTAAAAAGGTATTCTTTTTGTAAATTAAGGCAAAGTAAACTTGTTTTTTTCAATATTTTCTTAGCTATTTAATTATGATTTAAATGTAAAATTAAAGTAAAAATTCACAAATTATTTTCGTCTTTAAGATTACAATGACGCTTTCAGAATCATGTTTCATAACTTTTGCACCTACAGCGCCCACTTTTGGCACATTTTTGAAGTATGACAAAACCCTCAACTTGTCATAGGTTTTATAAAATTTTAACAATAAATGCGATAGTTATTATAAACAAATTAAAAATGGGCACTTTTCTTGTTTTTTTGCAATAACTTTTTTGTTTATTAACCGATTTTAATTTAACTAGTCTCAATTTGTAGGTAATTTTACTCCCTATAAGCTGTCTGAGAGTCACTTTTCGCTAAAATTGATGGTTTTCCCTACAAAGTGAAAAAACTGTTTTTCTCACTTATTTGTTTAAATAGAAAAGTTAACTAATAAAAGTTTTTTTACTCACGAGATGAGAAATGCTTTGTATTATATCCCTTTAGACAATTTTACAATAATCTAGCGGATAGGACTATTTTCGAGTTTCTCTTTTATTTTCGCTCATTTTCCTGGTGTATACACCCGGGCAGTTAGTCGACCGGGGGAGGAACTTTATCAAACGTGTCGCTGTAAAAACGTGCGCATAATTAATGCCCTAAAGAGCTCAAATTCCAATTTAATAAAAAAGTGTAATTAATTTTTTTGCCGCCCCGGTCGTCGGGCGGCTCTCCCCTGGGCTTCGGGAATGTAATTATCCCGGTGCTCGCTGCGTCCCCCCTTCCTAGAGGGGAGGGGGAGCGGAGAGAGAGCGTATCCGACCACCTGCTCGTGAAAGCTGACGTCGACGTCGATGTATTGGAAACTCACCGAAGGTCGTTTAATTTTCTTTGGGGATTTCCAACTTACTTCTCGACGACGAGTTATGCTTCCTCGGGGGGGATAATTTTGCCTCGCAGTCTCTGCAATTTAACTTGCGGGGAATATTAGTTCGGTAGTACTCTTTTAAGTCGGTCAAATCGACAAGAAAAACGTCTGCAAACAAGTTAAGTCTTTCATTTTTTGTAGCAGATGTTGATATGTAAATTAACATCACAAATAACCTGGCCGACATTTTGATTTTGCCTATACAGGGTGTTTCATCTAAGAGGGATCCTTTAATAAAAAAGTAGCTGTGTAACAGCGTCAAGAAGGCCTTACAAACAATGCTTATTGTAGTATTTGACATACAAAGCATATTTTGCTAACTAGAGTAAAATTGTATTATAATATTTTCAAAATGTCGCTGACGCAGGAAGAAATTATTGATATGGATTTAAAATAACAAATTTATGTAGCGCCCACCCGAAATGGAACACCCTGTAAAGCTAAAAATATTTTCTTGGACATTGCCCACATGATTCCAGACAACTTTTATTAAAACCATTTTTTTTTATAAATTTTACAGTTACAGAGTTACAGGAAAGTCCCTCTTAGGCGAAACACCCTGTATAAAGGCTATTGATCAGGCTACTTTGATTGAAATATGAAATTATATTTTTTTAAATAGTTGTAACTTCTAAACAAAAACGAATAGGACCTACAGTGTCTACAGATTTGATACGGAACACCAGTGTAGAATTTTACAGGGTGGGGCCATTTTAATGTCAATTTTTTTCGTGTCTTACTATGATTTTTTTAATAATGATGTTTTTGGAAAATCGTACTAGGGATTTTTTTATTAGAAATTTCTTTTAACTATCGGATCTTTCTATGCGCATGCCGAAACGACTATTTGTTAAATTGTATCAAAATCGGTCGAATTTGTCAACTTTCAGATACGAAAACCTTATACTCCGACCCTGCTGTTCTATTGTAGCCGAAA